AATTACAGAAATCTACTGTAAAATAACGACTGTTAAATTACAGGAATTTACTGTAAAATAACGACCGTTAAATTACAGAAAGTTACTGTAAAATAATGACAGTTAAATTACAGAAACTTACTGTAAAATAATGACTGTTAAATTACAGGAATTTACTGTAAAATAACAACCATTAATTTACAGGAATTTACTGTAAAATAACAGCCACTAAATTACAGAAATTGTCTGCAAAATAATGACCGTTAAATTACAGAAATTTACTGTAAAATAACGGCTGTTAAATTACAGAAATTTACTTAAATGTAAATTTCTGGTAAATTTTTGTCATTTAACCTTTGTTATTTTATGGGATTTTATGTTTCTTTAAAAAGACTAAATACAGCCATACGTAGATTTGGCTACATAATTCGCTCTTTTCAGAAACTTATGCAGGGCTTTGTTTTTACAATGAGCCTGTGTTGAAACCATTATTGCTAATAGAAAAGGAGTTTAAAAAGACGCCTCTTGTCTAAAAAAATTAAATTAAATTCCTGAGGTGCCTTTTTTGGGCAGAATTGAGTTTTTTTTCAGCTGCATGCGCACAGAGCATTCTGTCAAAAAGTGAGTACAAGTGTCGGGCACATAAACACAATGCAGAAAACACTAGATGCCAATAGAAAACAGTTTTAAAAGGCGCCTCTCGCCGCAAAAGAACGCATTAGGTGTGATCGGGGCCTGAACATTCATTCATCACTCTCAGAGAACACATCTGTCCGCTCTCTAAAGACACACTCACAGATGCCTCCAAATTGTAGTTTGAATGTAGGGTTCTTTAAACATGTCTATAAGGCCCCAGGGGTGCAAGATTGTTGCATATGTGTGGTATCGCTTGTTTTTTCATACATTTTAGTATGAAATTTAGTATGATTTGTTTGTGAAAATGTCCGTACGCATAGATTTGTGCCTACGCATGGTTAGTGAATGAGACCAATGTTTTTGCTAGTCTAGAAAATGCTTCTTGATTTAAGAATTTTTAGATAAGTGGACTTGAAACAAGACGCATTTTGGTGCAGTGTAACTGACTTGGTGATGCAAAAATGAGTTTTTATAATTGTATGGTCTTCTACACCAGATGTTAGTAACAGCACACAAATGTAAAAAACGAAAAAAAAAAAAATACAACACTGAAAAAGAGCGACGGATCAGACACACAGACGAGATTTGTTCCCTCTGTTTTGTTGGATGATTCATGAGAGTTATTCACAGTACATGGTTCACTTACAGCTTTTTTTTTTTTGTTGTTGTATGCATTGGCGTAAACATTTATGATGCAAATCAACCAGCATTTACCGTCTCATAATCAACTTTTGTTTCCTTAACACATGCCACTCATTTAAAATGTTAAAGATTTTGTTTAATCATAAAGGAAAATCAGTACTTCAAAACAATGGTCCATTAGTTCAGTGTTTCTCAACCATGTTCCCGGATAACCACCGGCTCTGCACATTTTCCATGTCTCCTTAACCAAACACACCTGATTCAGATCATCAGCTCAATGGAAGACACTGAAACACCTGTAATGAGTGTGACAGACAAAGGAGACATCCAAAACATGGAGTGCTGGTGGTTCTCCAGGAACATGGTTGAGAAACACTGCATTAGTTCATTCATTTCCCTTCGGTTCTATTTCAGAGGTCACCACAGTTGAATGAACCACCAACTATTCCAGCATATGTTTTATGCAGCGGATGCACTTCCAGGCCCAACTCAGTACTGAGAAACACCCATACACACTCACATTCACACACACTCATACACGGCGGACAATTTAGTTTATTCAATTCCCCTATAGTGCATGTCTTTGGACTGTGGGGAAAACAGGAGCACCCGGAGGAAACCCACACCAACACGGGGAGAACATGCAAACTCCACAGAGAGATGCCAACTGGCCCAGCCGGGACTCGAACTAGTGAGCTTCTTGCTGTAATGTGACAGTGCAAACCCATACCTGCCAACGTTTGGTTCATAATATCCAGGAGACCAGGGGGTGGGGGAGTTTGGAGGTGAGCGCAAACTGAAGAGTGTGGAGCAGGTGTGGAGATGGTTTCGCGTTGAGTTTGGTGCGCAGAATTCCGGGAGTTTTCCGGGAGACAGAACAATACGGGTAATGGGTCTGAAATAAGGGAGACTCCCGGGAAAAACATGAGTGTTGGCAGGTATGGCTAACCACTGAGCCACCGTGCGGCCTTTTTTTAAAATTCATTAATACTTTTTTTTTTTAAAGATGCTATCCTGAGGAGGAAATGGGCCTCAATGCTAATTTAATTTGAGAAGAAAATTCAGATTTCTGACTAATATTAGCAAAGAGACTCTTTGCCTTGTGTGTTTCACAGAATAAAAAAGTCGTACTGGTCTGGAACAATATAAAGCAGCGCTGCTCAATCCTGGTCCTTGTGGCCCCCTGCTATGCATATTTTGTGTTTCAATCACTGGTTTGTTCTCTTACCGTACGTTCACACCGAAAGCGGCGAGAGCGTCCAAGGTCGCTCTGGCCGCCCTGGCGACAACGCTCTCTGCCTTCAGCTCTTGCGGCGAGAGCGTCAAAACTCGCTACATTGATCTCATATTTAAAGGAGCCGTTGCAGCATATCAGTTATATTCCTGCATAAAACATGTTTCTAGCGTGAAAATGTTGCGCACTTCTTATCAAATTCATACAACAATGGAAGATCAAGTTGCGTGTGGTGTGGCTTTGCTCTATTTATCCAATATGTGTCTGAAATATCCTGAAGCAGCAGTACTGTTTTGTACTGTCACATCGCGTGAGATTCCCGCTTTTTTAAGATAAATTTATATAACATTAATGAACATCAGTAACTCTTCAGTAAACTTATTTAATGCATGTTCCTGTAGGAAAAAATTGTAAATAATTGGAAATCCAGCGACGGCAATAATCAAACCCTTGGGAACAACTGTGGTCTGAACCAAAGTTCACAGGCCTGTGTTCTCTGAACTGCTATCAAGCGATGGACATCTTCATTCTGATGGGTTGCCGCCGAACCGCGTCATAGCTCATTACCATAAAGTTGACTTCATTTCAACTCTCCTCGACGCTCACGCCGGCGAAGACGCGCCGCGCTGCTCCTCGCCGCCTGCTCTCATTAAAAATGAATGACTTCCGGCTACTTTGACGCTCTCGCTGCTTTCGGTGTGAACGTACGGTTAGAGGTTTGTCTCATTTGCCCATAAGTGCCCTGCGAAGTTCAATTCAAAGGGTGATGTGCACAAAACATGACTTACAGTTGAAATCAGAATTATTAGCCCCTACTGTATAATTTTTCCCCAATTTGTCTAACGAAAATATGATTTTCACAACACATTTCTACTCATAATAGTTTTAATAACTCATTTCTAATGACTAATTTCTTTTATCTTTGCCATGATGACAGCACATATTTGACTAGATATTGTTCAAGACACTAGTATTCAGCTTAAAGTGATATTTAAAAGCTTAACTATGTTAATTAGGCAAGTTAGGGTAATTGTATTGTCACTGTATAACGATGGTTTGTTCTGTAGACTATAAAAATTTTATATATTGCTTAAAAGGGGCTAATAATATTAACCTTAAAATGGTGTTCAAAAAATTTTAATCTGCTTTTATTCTAGCCAAAATAAAACAAATAAGACTTTCTCCAGAAGAAAAAATATTATCAGACATACTGTGAAAATTTCCTTGCTCTGTTGAACTTTATTTCAGAAATAATAATAAAAAGAAAGGAGGACAGGAGGGATAATCATTTTGACTTCAACTGCATATGCTAATCAGTTGATTACAGTTAAACAGCCCTTCATACTACTGTGATATGTGAAATTCTGCAAACAGTGTAGCACAAATCTTTTTTTTTTCAACGGAGTAAACTAAATTCAGACGATTTCTCATGTGCAGTACTTGGAGCAGTGAACACCACGTAGGGAACATGTCAATCTCATCACAGTTCTTTCTTGGAGCTCTTTTCTGATGCGCTGGTTATCAAAATCAGCGTTAAACAAAAAAAAAAATGCGCAGAGCAGTAGAGCAGGAGGACTAGGATTGACAACTGCTGCGTTAAAGAATAAATGAAAGGATTTTTCTTCAACTCTTAAGACGTAATAAAAAAAAAACATCACAGTAGTGTCGTCAAAAGTATCGAGTTCGGTACTAATTGGTACTGAAGTTTTAAAAACGTCCATTTCCTGCAAACATTTGAGCCGTATTGAGTCCGTTCGTAAACACCGTCGATAGGCCATTGTGTTTACGTGCTCAACAGAATTGACTGTGATTGGCTGTAAAGATCATCAGTTCACCTCTACTGTTCACAGAGTGCAAACACATATACAGGGACACTGGAGCATCTCAAAGCTACGTCAATCAGTCGATCTGTCTATTAGCTGATATACAAGAAATTTGCTGATGGACTGACTGATCCACATGGCTTTAAAATACTCAAGTGTACATGTATCAGTGCTTGCGATGAACACTGGTGAACAGCGGTGAATAAGTGGTGAATCGATGAGCTTTACAGCCAATCACAGTTATTTCTGTTGAGCACATGATCACAATGGTCAATTTAGCGGTATATAGGAACACGCTCAAATGTTACGGAGTCAGATCACTCTCAAAATAATTCACGCAAAAGACACTAAGTACACATGCGTAGCCAAATTCACATGCATAATACCAAATTAATGTGTGCAAGCTAATTAAAACAGAAATGTTAGTGGGAAGTGGGTGTTTTTAAAATGTTGGTATCAACTGGTTCCCGAAGTCAATACTTTTGACAACCGTACGTCGAAGTAATCACCCGTTTTCAGGGAAGTCATTTTAGAACTGAACTTTTAATGGCAGAAAAGGTCTTAAAAAAAGGGATGTACTTTTACTCGCATCATTCAAATTGTTTGCATTTGAATATAATTGTATGTGTTGTTTAAAAAAAAAAAGAGAGAAGAGGAAGAAAAATAGGCTTTGTGTGTGAACTGTGTTTTGAGTATCTGTTCGTTTATTTAGTTTCAAATTGATCGATTTGGCAAGAGAAGATGAAGTCGATTTTCTGTGATGAATGAAGGTGATTGTGGTGTTTGGGGAACTGCATTGGCACATCTCTTCCCTAATCTCAAATTTATCATTACTGAATGTGAGTGTATGTGTGTGGTTTAGTCGTCCACTGTGATATTGCGGAACAGGTAGGCCATGGACTCTCCATTGTGAATGCGTCTGATGGCCTCAGCCAGGATCATGCTCACATCCACTGTCTTGATTTTAGGACACTGCAGTTTCTGCACTTCATGAGGGACCGTGTTGGTCACCACCACCTGAAAGACCAGAGAGATTTCATGAACTTACATTAATGCACATACAATTCTTTTATTATTTCAATATTAACTGATTTTACAGTATTTGTTTAATTTTAAGCCTGTGTACATGAAGGTAAGTATCTGATGAGAAAATCCAGTCTGTTCTAAGGAAATTGTGCCTTGTAAAGCAGCTCCAAGAGAAACGGAATATTAAATGAGAATGCAGTGGGCGTGGCTTGTTTTTTCTACTGCAAGCTTATTGGATGTGGTAAAGTAGACATCTTATTCAGAAAGATCGAGAAAAGAGTTTGGAAAGACTTATTACAACCTAACAGACTCCTTACTCCTCACTGTTTGCTGTGAAAACTGATAGCTGGAGGGGCATGGTTTAGTATGTTAGCCACGCCCAATACCTCAGACTAAGGAGACTAATCTGAGAATTTAACTGAAAACAAACAGGAAGTGCATTTTCAGATTTAAATTTTAGAAGTTCTAAAAGTTTATATACAATTGTGCAGACACACACAAGAAATAAAGTATATCCTGAAAGTCGTTATCACAAAATAATTTCTGACAGGCTTTAAATAAACTGAAAATAAGGACTTAAACTACAAATTTAACTAATAACTACTAAGAATAACTGTAGAAACTAAACTTTTCAATAATACATTTTAATTTTTTATTATCATTTCATAATAATAAATAATTTTATAATAAAATAAACACTCAAACTAATAAATAAATAGATGAATAGACAAACGAACAGACAAATAAACAAAGGAATTGACAAACATACAAATGAAGAGACAAAATACACAAACAAATGTACAAATACAAAGAATTGGACAAATACACAAACGAACTAACAAAAAAAACAAACAAAAAAACAAACAAACAGACAGAAAGACAGACAGACAGACAGACAGGCAGGCAGGTAGACAGACAGACAAATATACAAAAAAACAGAAAAATTCACACAAAAAAACAGACAAATACACAAACAAACAGACAGATACTCAAACTAACAAATACACAAACAAACAAACTAACAAACAAACTAACAAACAAACAAACAAACAAACAAACAAACAAACAGATACTCAAACTAATGGACAACTGAACAAACTAACTAACAAACTAACTAACTAACTAACTAACTAACTAACTAACTAACTAACTAACTAACTAACTAACAGATAGATAATCAAACTAATGGACAAACAAACAAATACTCAAACTAATGGACAAATACACAAACAAACAAACAAATAAACAACCAAACAGATAGGTACTCAAACTAATGGACAAATACACAAACAAACAAACAAACAAACAGATACTCAAACTAACGGACAAATACACAAACAAACAAACAAGCAAACAAACAAACAAACAGACAGATACTCAAACTAATGGAAAAATGAACAAACAAACAAACAAACAAACAAACAAACAGATAGGTACTCAAACTAATGGACAAATACACAAACAAACAAACAACCAAACAGATAGGTACTCAAACTAATAGACAAATACACAAACAAACAAACAACCAAACAGATAGGTACTCAAACTAATGGACAAATACACAAACAAACAAACAAACAAACAGACAGACACTTATACTAACGGACAAATACACAAACAAACAAACAAACAAAAAAACTAACAGACAGATACTCAAACTAATGCACAAATGAACAAACAAACAAACGAACTAATTAACTAATTGATAGATAATCAAACTAATGGACCAACAAACAAACAAATACTCAAACTAATGGACAAATACACAAACAAACAACCAAACAGATAGGTACTCAAACTAATGGACAAATACACAAACAAACAAACAAACAAACAGATACTCAAACTAACAGACAAATACACAAACAAATGGACAAACACACAAATGGATGGACAAACACACAAACGAATGGACAAATGCTCAAACAAATGCACAAATAATCAAACAAAAAATTACACTAACAATTGGACAAATACACAAAAGATCAGACAAATACACAAAAGAACAGACAAATACACAAATGACCAAATACACAATCAAATGAACAGACAAACACACAAACAAACTGACAAATACACAAATAAATGGACAAGGACACAAATTAACAGACAAACAAACAATTTGACAAACATAGAAACTAATTGACAAACAAAAGACTGGAAAAAAATGAATAGACAAATACACAAACAAATGGGCAAACATACTGTAAACGAACTGACAAATAAACAAATGAACACATGAAAAGACAAATACACAAACAAACAGACAAATACACAAACGAGTTTTTATTAACAGATTGAATACACTTTTATTTTTAGCGTTCTCACTCTTCATTTACGCTATAACTATTGTTTATTTTTTTATTATAGGTTTTATTTAAGTTTTAGATTCACCAACAGACTCACTTCGTCTATAGCGGACTCCTCGATGAGGCGCGGGGCATCCGCCGACAGCAGCCCATGGGTGGCCATGATGTAGATCTTATAAGCTCCTCTCTCCTTCAGGATCTCAGCGGCTGCCACATAGTCCTCCACATCATCAATAATATCATCCTGAAGAGCAAAATAACAAACTCCTCATCCCATCAGTCCAAAACTACAGTCAAATAAGTCTAAAAATACGCTCATTTCTTACGACAATGATGGCGATGCGACCTCCAACATCTCCAACAACCGTGATGGGGGGTTTCTCCTTGGCCATCATTACTATAACGACATATATAAGCTAGTGTTCATTGCAGTGTATCATTTCAGGTAATCACATTCCAGCATCAGAGTAGATTGGGTAAGATGGGTTCAAGTTTATATGAGAATTTCTAAAATGGCGCACGCAATCCATATTACCAAAATGGTTAGCAACCACTTAAAGTGTCCAGAAGTAACCAGTTATGCATAGCATATAACTGGGTTAGATACAAGATGGAGAACGCTTCCCATTTTACCCCACCTACAATTCAATCCAAACAGGAATGGAAAAAAAAACTCATGCCATGCAGAAATCAAAATGATCAACTCTTGGTCCCCAATGTACCCAATCGTATCTAGAGGTGTACACTAACAGTCAGTGCAGGAAACTACACATCAATCAGTCAATCAATCAGTCCTCGAGTCAGCATGACGGACTCCAGGACAACTGTTGTAATTCAGGAATGGTCAACAGGGGCTAGTGTCATTCATCCAGAGGACAGACATAGGAACACAGCCAAAACGCACACACACACACTCCGATCCAGGTAAACACGAGAGAGAGGAAGACTGGTGGGTCTATTTGAAAATACATAGGGTTAAAGGAATTATGCATGCCTTCAACACATGCCTTTCATCAACAGCACGTTCCAAATCACTACTTTCGTTTTTGCATCTTGATGAGACTTTCGGACTATCTCGATTAATAATATTTAACAGAACTACGCTGTAAAGAGCCACTGTTATAAACAAGTCCTAAAAGGTGCCGTTCACGGAGGATGGGTACTTGGCGAAAATAATACATATACAGCTGATGGTGTCTAGCAGACATACAAGACCAAGAGACCTAATGTAATGTAATGTGTATTTATATAGCGCATTTAATGTGTACGGTCATACACCCAAAGCACTTTACAATCATGATCTCTTCACACCACTACTAGTGTGCAGCATCCAGGACAAGATCTCAAATACAAGCGGCCGAAATGAGTTTCCTTCGAAGGGGGAAATGGCGCTCCCTTACGGATAGGGTGAGGATTTAGGGTGATGCAATGCAAGACGACATCCTCTGTGAACGACATCCCATTACAGTGCTCAGTGCCCATTTGAATGTATTATAAAATACAAATTCTCCTGCATTAATGGTATAGTCGAACTCAATTCCGCTGTGTGTTTCTGCAAGCTTAGGCAAACACAAAGAATACGCTGACTTTACCTATGCTGCCTTGCTTTTAAATATGCCCCGTACCAAAACCTCAAACTCTTCAATGAACACCTTCCTCTATTTCTCAAGGTCATGTGTTTCCAAGACGATGCAAGGGCCTTGGTTACAAGCAGCTACAAGACTACCATTTTCAAACCTCTAGTCTAGGGGGGGTTTCATAAGCAGGCATGGTGTGTTGATTGGCAAGATGAGCCTGGATCACAAATAAAGGCATATCTCTCGGACAGACATTCAATGGTTCCTTTTCTGAACGATGAAGATTACATGGAATTTTGAAAATAAGCACTTCAATTGAGGCTTCTTAGTTCTGTTCGAGTGAAGCACTCTGAAGCTGTAACAATCACTTCTGGGATAATGGTATGGCGGTGTACACAGTAGTTATATGCACAGCTATGCATGTTTATATTAGTTATTTCCCAATGGCCTGCTAATCAAAACTTACGAATATTCCAAATTTGCATAAAGCAATTTGGTTTACTTGCTTTGTGGTGTTTTGGTTATACTGCCCACCCCTACCTTTTAACAATATTGAGCACACTTTATATAAGGTGTCTTTAACTACTATGCACTTTCATTAAAGATTTTGTTAGGTACAGTGTACTTATGATCATGAGTTGATATTGATTTAAGATAGAAAACGGTTAAGTGGTATGGGCAGGTTTAGGGGTCAGATTAAATTTAGGGACCGGCTTAAGGCTGATTTATACTTTATACCATGCAACGACGTGTAGCGTAAGCTCTGTGATTGGTCTGCTTGGTAGCCAAGAGCCGCGCAAACCGGTTAAGCGAGTGTGGAAAGTTTTGTTTTGTTTACCTTATGATTAATGTTGTTGCACGTCCACCAATTTCTGCCTCTGAATGAGCGAGATTGAGCCACTTGTACATTAAGGTAGCGTTCAGAAAAAAACAAAACACCAGCAAAGAAACACGACACAGAGGGTTATGCCGATCACTTAAAGAACGCGTTAAGTATAAATCAGCCTTAACACTAAAGCCTGTTTTACACTTCTGCGTCACGTGATCCATGTGACCCACGGCATCTACCTTACGCGTTGCCGTGGGTCATGCTAATCACTTGACAATGGCCCCGTTTACACTAATGCGTTTTTTCGTTTTAAAACACTTAAGTTTTGCTACGGTTACGCCATCCATCCACACTACGCCGGAGTTCTCGAGCGCCGAAAACTGAGCTTTTCGAAAACGCTGTAGAGGCCATATTCATTCTGAAGCGCTGCTGCTCTGTCTCAAGGTGGATGTGGGAAAATGGAGACATCTGAAAACGGAGGCGGGGCTGCTGACATTTGCTACCTGATTGGGGCTTTTGTGTTATTGCGTATCCTTCCCTTATTCGTCAAGCCTCTATCACATGGCTTTAACACATGGCTTTAACGCTACCGGAAGACAGCAGACCAGCCTTCACTGTAAACAACAACACGGACACAGAAATGGGAGCGTTGTTTGCACTATTGTCTGTTTTAGACGCCATTGTGCAGTTATTCATTTGTTACAATTAGTAAAAACTCGATCTCATCGTCTGTCCACAAAAATACCTCTCTACCTCTCTTGCTTTCTTTGCCATCGCGCTTATTGTTCAACCGGCGTTTGTTGACTAACAATAACCAAATGCCAAGCGAGATGCGTGAATGGTCACGTGATATACGTTATGGTGGCGTACTGTGGACGGAGATATGTTCAGAAACGCTGGGTGAAACGCTAGTGTGGACGCGGATCATTTTTGATCTTAAACGCCATTTTAAAACTAAAACGCACTAGTCTAAACGGGGCCTATAAAAACTATAATAAACTAAATGTATGCACAATTGTCTGTCCAGGTCAGCTTCCACAGCTGTAAATACATGAAGAACTTTTAAACGAATGTTATTGTAAGGAAAATAATAAAAGCATTATGGTAAATAGAGGTAAAAATTACATTCTTAAAAAGTTTAAGGTTTTATTGAGATGGATTGTTGGTGATTGTATGGATTTTGGTCAGATTAGGTAGCTATACATAAACAAAGGAAAATTAAGAGCTGTTTAAAAAAGACTTTTTAAGGCCTAAAATTTTGTTTTTGAGTTGAAAGACATTTTAAGACCCAGCAGACACCTTGCTAAGAGAATTAGCTCAATAAACTACTAATTAGCTGCTTAGTAATAATTAGTAACTTGAGTTTAGGTATTGTGTAGGATTAGGGATGTAGAATAAAAAATAAATCATACTTTATAATTACCAATAAACGGTTAATATCTTAATACGAGTAATAATATTAATATCTTAATATGAGTAATACGGTAATAAGGCCGTACTCACACTAGGTACAGTTGCCTAGAACCGGGCCAAAGCACGCTTGTCCCCCCTCCCGTCTCCCCCGACGGCCCGCACTCACATGACAATCGGGCCTGGGCACGCTTACGTCATCGATGCTGCGCTGTTCAGTGAGCGCTGTCGCTCAGCACAGTGGAGATTTCTCTAGTTATATCGTTTCAGTCGTTTGTTACGCAGTGACATGCAGTCAAATATTTCGCCAAATAGTCCTTAGGGATTCGGTGACACGCAGTCAGATATTTCGCCGAACAGATCCGCCACTTTTGGCGCTCATAAACAATCATAAAGCTCTCGTGTTGCAGGAATGAGGAGGTTTGCCAAAGCTGCACAGCTTTCATGCAGTGAGAGGTTTGCGTATTTAATAAACTACGGCAGTTTGCGTTCATTGAGCAGTAGATTGAATAATAAAGCCATATGAAACAGTCCCTTAAAAGTAACGTCAAGCTTTCAGTTTCGGGCTTTGGCGTGTTTTGCACTCACACTACAAGCGTACCACAAAGCCCAAGTGAACCATGCTCAGGCCCACTTCTTCCAACTGGGCCAGGACCGACCAAGTGAACCATGCCTGAGCCCGAATCAGTGCACTCACACTTCTCAAACGATCCAGGAAACGGGCCTGAGCACGGTTCGGATAGCATAGTGTGAGTACGCCCTAACTCGGTAGCTAATGGTTTGAATCGTGACCACAAAGTGTTACCGATATTTTTCCAAATGTATTAATTGAAACATTAATTCATAGTAGTTTAAGACACTTGATACATAGTGAGTTAGAGCAGCTCATGCTCATATTGTTAAAGTATTTTTATTAATAATAAAGATAGAGTACTTCAGAGCGCTTGGATCACAGACACTGAGAGACCTCAGGCACTGCACTGCATGCAATAGGAACCATTTTCAGCGTGTTCACTGCTGTGATCGGTAGCAAATAAGAGTTAACCGTCATACTTGGTAGCTCTATGCCTGGGAACGGAGCTTGCTGTTTGCCTATTACCAATAAATAAACATCACGTTAAACAAAAATCCACACACAAAATGATAAAAAACATACAGACAAGAAACCAGGACTTCAACAATCCTCACTGAACCCTATTTGAGCATCCAAATAAATGTTTCTTCAACTCTCCAATAAAACGAAGCGACTAAAACAAGAGTGGTTCATTTGAGGATGGTCAAAGTCCATTCAAAAACCATAAATGTACATAGATCTACTTGAAGTGAACTTCTATCAGGCAATACGAGAGTATAATGGCCAAGACACAAACCACACGAGACCTGCTCATAAATTAATAAGCTAAACATCGCAGTGTGGTTATGAAAGTTTCAATTAAAGCAACTGTATGTACTTTGACTGTATGTAATTTTGAGACTTTACAGCCACCTTTGGTTCACTTTGTATGATTATACTGCAATACATGTTTCACAGTGATTAGACTATTATGCTGTGTTCATACCAGACGCGGAACGGACGGATAAATCGCGATATCCGCGCGTAAATAGCCGCGTGAACATTTGAGTTTACTCGCTTCATTCGCAAATCAAACCCCGCTTCGTGATGGGCAGGGCTTCTGTCTGCCCGAAGACTCTAGCTTCATAGCTAAATGGCTAACATGGATTTTATGAAGAAAATAACAGTGTTTATGCGCTTTATGAAGACTGAAAAACAGCGTCGATACGTTTAGGGTGGTGTCTGAGTCTACTACATTTTTTCAGAGGTGCATCCAGCTGTGTGAGCTCAAAAAACTCCTCCAGAAACTTAACCTGGATGACGGAGGCTTTCAGCAGTGCTTCTGACTGAGCCAAGCCCAGTTTGATGAACTGTTGTCGGTGAAGGCTGGAAGACAGGTTCTACGTCACAAACACGCCCCCACAAGAGCAAGCTTCTGATTGGTTAACGCGGCGCGAATGTACGCTGAAGTTCAGATTTTCGAATTCAGGAGACTCGCGCAAAACGCTCGTTAAGCGCGCAAAACGCTCAATTTGCCATTCGCGCAATTTGCGTCATTCGCGCCGCGCCATTTGCGCGTATCACAGCACAGGATGTCTATTCGCGCGTTTGCATTGACTTAACATGTAAATCACTCGCGCTTGACGCGCTTGCCGCGTCTGGTGTGAACGCAGCATTACAACCAACAAGCTCAGCTGCCATCTTTATATTTGTTTGCGCGCTAACCAGAAATACGACTGTTTGATTACTTTTGACATCCAAGAAAACCTATAAATCTCTCTTAAAGTGGATAATATCATTGCCGACATTGTCAGCTTTCCTAACGAATACTGGCAATATGTTATCAGACACATTTATCCTGGCAGTGATGAGAAAGAAATTGCCAAGACGGGATCAACCCTGCATTAGTAGGCAAACAGAATACACTTAAAAGGCTCTATATTAGGTACACCTATTCAACTGAAGCTCATTATTGCAAATATCAGCCAATCACATTACAGAAACTCAATGCATTTAGGTCACGTCTGCATTCATATTGATCTTATTCCTCATGTATGAGTGGACACAGCCATTGGAATCTTATTGACTCGAGTCTTCCGGTCTCACTCACTTCCATTGATGTTTAGATGTTAAAAACAGCTTGATGTTGCACACAAATTAATACTTTATTATTATTTTATTCACCTTTTTATCAATAGTCATGAACACACTTGCATGTAGAGCACGTATTTTGACTAGGGCTGCACGATATTGGAAAACTCGGACATCGCGATATTTAGTTTTGCTGCGATTTTCTACACTACCTGACAAAAGTCTTGTCGCCTATTCAAGTTTAAGGATCAACAAATAATAACTTGACTTCTACTCGATCATTTGGTATCAGAAGTGGCTCATATGAAAGGCAAAGGCCTCTAGATTACGCTTATTTTACCAAAATAAAAAAAGATCATGCCTTGATTTTTAATTATTTTATTAGGACAGTAAGGTCTGACTTTGCTGAGACAAAAGTCTTGTCACCTAACAGAAATAATGTTGTTACGAGTAGTTTTGTGTAGTGTAGTGTAGTGTAGTGTAGTGTAGGCTTGTGTGTGGTGTTTCTTTCCCTCTCTCTCTTTCTCTCTCGCTCTTTCTCTTGCTCTTACTTTCATGTCTAAGTATTCGCAGGTGCAGCGGACAGACGAGAATTTGAAGAATGTTTTTCCTTAATAACAAGGTAATAATAATAAAGTTCCATACAGTTGCTTTAACTAATCAAGTGCTCAAGGTGAGACAAGTGTGAGATTAAAACCTGGCTCAAACAGCACATGAAAGAGTGAAAAATAAAGGCTGTGTCTCAAATTCTAGACGACTGGCTTCTCCAGTTCCTTTATTGATTGTTACCGTAACCATTTGTCATGTAAAGTAATTGCTGTGATATTAATGCAATGTTCTGGAGTTTTGTTTTTTAGAGAAGTGTATTAATATGCGATGCTTCAAGCCAAAAACAAACTGATGTGATGTTGTTTTGATCGAAACCAGGTCAACGCAAAGCCCGTTTTAGGAGTAATTACAAGTGTTGATGATTGATCATTGCTGTCAGCAAGTGCTGTCTGGATGGTTCAGTTACTTCAATAGGTTTTGAGACAGAGCCTTGGGATAGAGACAGTGCTAAATAAGAGGAAGAGGGAAACATAAATAGCTAAATAAAACATCTTGACCTAACTTGAACTACATAAGAGATCTCCAGAATGAGAGCAGCAACTGAGCCCTTTATTGCTTTATGTTTAGAAATGCTTTATATGTCATGAAAGCTAGTTCAGGTCACATTTCACCCCTAAAATCAAAAGAAAAATTTTTTTTATTTCTGTATATTTATTTAGTAAAATTAAAATAATATTAATAATAATAATAATTAAAATAAAATTGAAGATAGTTTAAAGATGTTAATGACTCTAATCCATTTTTAGGCAATGTTCAAGTTTAAATAATACATACATACATACATACTACATATACATACATACATATATATATATA